TGTGTGTGTATGTGTGTATGTGTGTGTATGTGTGTGTATGTGTGTGTATGTGTGTGTGTGTGTGTGTGTGTGTATGTGTGTGTATGTGTGTATGTGTGTGTATGTGTGTGTATGTGTGTGTGTATGTGTGTGTGTGTGTGTGTGTGTGTGTATGTGTGTGTATGTGTGTGTATGTGTGTGTGTGTGTGTGTGTGTGTGTGTGTGTGTGTGTGTGTGTGTGTGTGTGTGTGTGTGTGTTATAATAATACCGTTAATTGTATTCGTGYTTAGTGTTTGATTATCCGGTTATTAGACGGGACTCTTGTTGTCGGGTATTATAAACATAATCATCTGWCAGTTAGGTTAATCACGGCGGACATCATTTTCTAGCCTATTGGACAAACATATTGTCCTCCGGCGGCGGCCGGTATCGGTCGCCAATGATCTGTAATTAATGAAAAAGTTTTAGAAACAAAATCAATAGACTATTATATATATAAATATATCTATATATATATTTACCGCAAATTCTGACCAAATTTGATGTATTGTTACCGTCGAGTTTGGTTCGTATTATTATTATTATTAATTATTATTATTATTATTATTATTATTATTATTATTATTATTATTATTATTATTATTATTATTATTATTATTATTATTATTATTATTATTATTATTATTATTCTMAGSTATATTAYGGTCKACTCTMTGAAATAGTKGGTTAGGTTGCGGTTGAATRTAATWAATRCGAAATTKTGGTCTCAATTCTAGTCTAACAATAGTWTGTCTMKAATAKCKATAATAATAGSTATTTGCTATATATTGGAAAAATAATTGCAATTTTTCAGTAAAAAGTATTATWGAAAAACCGAACCAAGTRCTTAGTATACTAATAAATAATATTGAAAATTCTTCAATCGATAGTTTTATTGAAATCAAATAAATAATCGATTCGTTTGGTTTGTMTGGATATTCAATACGAATTTTATTATTATTATTATTATTATTCTCATTATTATTGACTTTTAAAAATGCATATGTAAAATTGTTTATACATAATGGCAATCGATTTTCATTACATTTATGTTGGCATTGATCATAAAAACTATTGCTTATATTAGTTTCTGAAACAATTGATAAATTTTCATCGATAATTTCATCAAATATAAATGATAGATAATATGGATAGCAATTATAATTTTTCAAATAATTTTCAATTAAACATTTATAAATACAWTCATTTWCGGTTWCCCAAACGCACAAACCCAATTGACTGACTGSCCGTATCGTATTGTATCGATTGTCGTTCAAATCTAATTGAATAATCGTATCCAAAATGGAAATCTGGTAAATTATCAAGCATATTTTTCATAACATAAATTTTACGACTACGTTCGGTAAAATAGATTGAAAATTTCGATTAATTTAATTGATTTAGTATTAATAATATATGAAAACATCACGTCCARAATCGAAATCAGTAAATCTATTGAAAATCTGATAATTATCATCGGGATCATTTTCCCAATTGACTTAATATTAATAGACCGAGGGAAATTACATAAATTTCTATATAAAATAAAAACAATATATAATATAAACTATTATAATTTACTAATAAAATTATATATATATATATATAAAATATAATTGTTTATTAGATTAATGATTTTTCTACAAAATCAATATTTATTAAAAAATAAATAAATAAATAAATAAATAAATTAAATCATAATCTGAAATAATTCTATAAACATAATATATATAACTTATAATAGAGGAAACATAGATGCAGAGCATTTGACACGCATTGGCTCATATTAGTACTAAATATGTAAGGGTCAGTTTGTGAATTTTTATTTTGAAAAAATATATTGTTGAGATCTAAGTTTAAAATTTATATTTTAAGTGGCATTTATAACATTAGACTATAAAATAGTTTTGTTACCATAACAATATAAATTTTTAAATTAAACTATGATTGGATTATGTCAATTGCTCCTCATGACTGAGAGGAAATATATAAATATATACAGTAGAGTATAGTTATAACTACAAAGTAGCTTTGTATTGTTTTTTTTTGGTGACACTGGAACTGCTTAAGTGATGTATAGACCATCACAATATATATTAGTTAACTTTCAATACTAAATACTAGTTTATTTGTGCATTAAATATAAATATTATTAAACTTTAAAATATTTAATAATATAATTTAGTGAAATAGATATGAAATAATTAAATAAATTAAACATAAATTATTTATATTATATTAATAATAATTACTAACAATAAACTCATAAAACATTTATTTAATTTATWTCATTATAATAGAAAAATATTTATTAATTATAATTACTTTATAMTTAATAATTATGTTTTGCAATAATAATAAAAATAAATTATTATATATAGAGTTCAATAATATAGTAAAATAATTGATTTTAAAAAACACTTGTTATTATAATAGGATTTAAAAAAAACTATTTTCAATTTCAAATACTAATTAATTGATTTTTTTGTTTGTTTTGTTTTTGTATTTAATTAATAAATAGTAAACTAAAATATTTACCTAAAAAAAATAGCAATCATTACTAATTAGAGAAAACTAAAACTTAAAAAATAAATTAATAACAATATTACACAKTATTTTWTTTAATTATTTTATTTTTTTATTAATAATATTTATTGTATGCCATTAAATGCTGACTTAAATCAATAGAAATACAAAAAAATTAGTTTAAATAATTTACATAAAATTATTTACAAAATAATATATATATATATAATGTATTTATAAAACATCATAAAATATATATATTTTTGTYGATAATTTTGTGTAAATTATTTAAACTGAAAAAAATTATTTCTATTAATCAAAGTCAGCATATAATGACATTTATAATGTGATTAATATATAATATTTGAAAAATATAAATGATTTTTTAAAAAATAACAAAAAATAATTAGTTTTGTTATATAATAATAATAGATATATATATATATATTTATATAATAAAAATCTATTTGCTTTTTAGAAAAAATAATAACAATTTTTTTTTAGATATTATATATCTTTTATAATAATAAAAATAATAAATATTATCAGTGATGTCCAGAGGAGGCTAAACACCCACAACAACAAAAATACAATTAAATTACCAAAAAAAAAACTAAATAATAATTATAAAAAAAAAATCAATTAATTAGTTATCACATGAATAATAATAATAATATTCAATAATAATTATTTAGGGAAAAAAAAGTTCACAAAAACAAACAATTGAGTAATATTTTAGAAATAATTAATTATAATTAATTAATTACACAATTATTATACCCTTAAAACATACCGTTCCTCTTGACATTCAATATAGCTTTATCTATCAATACATTACTGTTAAAACTGTTGACCCAAATATGCAAACATATGCACTGTATGTATAGGTATGTATAGACTCACTGTTTTTTTTGTGGACTATAGTCTAGACATCACTGACCAGTCAATTGTAATAATAATAATAATAATAAAAATATAATTTAAACATTTTGTTTTTATAGTTAACTTTTAATACACACAGAATATATATCAAATCAATTTTTAAAAAAACAATTAATATATATATATATATTAATTAATTAATTGAAAAATGATTCATTAATTTTGTTATCTAAACAAAAATAATTTCTTGATGTCATAATCATAAAGAAATTATTTTATTATTTTTTAATAATTATTAGATTTAATTCAAAATTAATAAATCATTTTTTTTGTTGGTTTGAATATTGTTTTGATATATATTTTGCTAATAAAAATTAACTAAAAATAATTAATAACATGAATAATAATAATTAGTAATTTGTAAACAAAAAATGTTTAGTATATTTAGTATTGATATTTTTTTGTGTAAAGAAAATTAGTTTTTTTTTCTTAAAAAAAACAATTAAAAAACAAATTAGCGATTAATTAGATAAACATTTTGTTGTTGTTGTTGAATAAAACTAAAATTATTTTTGTTAAAAAAAATCAATACTAAATACACAATACATTTTGTGATTAATAATTATCAAAAAAATATATATAMAATATAGAGATTAAAATCACATTCAAAAAATACAATATATAAACCAATAATTAGAGAGAAGAAAAAAGTTTTAAAATATCGGGACATAAATGGATGGACAGACARATAGATAGATAGGTCSGTTCCCTTTAGTCCATAAGCCTGTATAGTCGTCTCTAACAGTAATACATGCTATGTTTGACCGCATCCATCACTTTGATATCGTTGTTGATCTTAGCGGCCAATTGTCTCCAACGTTGACGTTTCTGATCGTCGGTTTCATCTCTCGGGCCGCGATTGCCAGGCGTTACGGGATTGGCGGCCACAATATGATTGCGTGCCCTATAGGCAGCCAAGTGAGCGTACATTACCGGCGCCGGTATGCTAATCGGTTTGTCACATCGGGCATAGATATGGCATAAATAATACGATAGTTTTTGTAGTTCATCGGCCGTGAATTTATGGTCATCGTGTAGGACATAGTAGTGTGTCGGACGACTTGTTCCCTAAATTATTAGTATTATTATTATTATTTTGTTATAATTAAAATCAAAAAACATTTATCAATCATTCAATTAAACATATGGTTTATAACAATAGAAAGAGAGAGAGAGATATATATATATATATATATATATATAGAGAGAGAGAGAGAGAGAGAGAGAGAGAGAGAGAGAGAGAGAGAGAGAGAGAGAGAGAGATATAGAGAGAGAGAGAGAGATAGAGAGAGAGAGAGGGATAGAGAGAGAGACAGATATAGGGAGAGAGAGGTAGAGAGAGAGATAGRGAGAGAGAGAGAGAGAGAGAGAGAGAGAGAGAGAGAGAGAGAGAGAGATATAGGAGAGAGAGATAGGGAGAGAGAGAGAGAGAGAGAGGAGAGAGAGAGACAGATATAGGAGAGACAGAGAGAGAGAGAKAGRGAGAGAGAGAGAGAGAGAGAGAGAGAGAGAGAATAAGTCYACAAAAACATATCAAAAATACCTGAATGCCTTCATGACTGCACAGATAGTAATCAAAATCAGTCGGATGTACGATATGTGTATCGACTGTAGTACCCGGCGGTACGTTTTTCATACGACCGGTACCGTCAGCCGGATTTTCCGGACGCATCCTTGTATGATGTCGTTTCTGTACGGTCAGGAATGTCAACTTTGGCCGAAATCCTAGCCTCTGGCAGCCTTCCAACAGTTTACGCGATTCGTGATCCAATACCTGACGAAACTGGGATTCACTGACACCGTCCCTGTAGTAGATAATATGTTTCGGTAGACAACCGTTACGTCGGCGATATTCGACCAACAATTCCCCGATCATCGAATCAAATTCCATAATCATTTCCACGGCCTGGGCTCGGGTAGTCTTTTCCTGAGCCCTGATAGATGCCGAATATGTATAGTAATTGTTATCGACCGAACCGATTACCGCCGCTACCGATGATTCCAATTGATCGGCCGGTGCCGGATGTGTAACATCGGCACCGATAATCATTACCGGACAGCGGTCATCTTTGAGTACCGCGGGTTTATCGGGTAGATTCTGGTTACTTATGATACGATTAATACCACCCAATTTGGTATTAATTTTTAACAATAGATTTGCGTGAACACCGACTGTTGTGTCCGAATAAATGGAGAAACAAATAAAAAATTAAATTTAATTAAAATTAATTATCCGATAATTAATAAAACCGGTTAGGGGCTGTTCATATATTACGTTCGCACTTTTCRAGAATTCTAGACCCCCTCCCTCCCTCACCTATGTTGTTTGCATGTAGTCATTTAAAAAAAATAATAATTACGTTCGCGCATGTCCCTAACCGCTACCCCCTCCCCCACCACCACCACCACCACCACTAGAAATAACGATATTATCTAAATGCGAACGTTCTTGACGTTTCTATTGTTCGCAATTCAATCGCATGTAGTCATTTAATAAAAAAATAATTACGTTCGCGCATATCCCCCTAACAGCTACCCCCTCCCCACCACCACCACTAGAAATAACGATATTATCTAAATGCCAAACGAGTCTTAACGTTTCTACCCCTCCCCCTCACCGTCGTTCGCAAAAATTCGCTTTGGCTAACCACCCGCCCCCCCGCGAACGTAATATGTGAACCACGCCTTATTAGTAGTTTTGTATTTTTTTGTTTGTTTGTTTTGTTGGTTAGTTAGTTAGTTAGTTGACATACATTTAGGTTTGGATACATTTTGATCTTTAATACATTGGGTTATAACACCGCGATTGCATTCCGCTTCGTGTTTGATTTGCTTATAGACGGGACTCCTATCGGGTATTATAAACATAATCATCTGGAGTTTGTTAGGCGGCGGACATTTTCGGGAGCACTGGACAAACATATTCGGCAAATCTTCGGCCCGGTATCGGTCGCCAATATTCTGTATGTGTACGGGCTGTTCGATGGTCATACCGACCAGACCGGCTGCTTCGGGACCGCGCAATGTCCGTATAAAATCGTCGATCTGTTCCGGGCGTACATATCGACTCAAATTGACAACTATCCATGATTTCAACGGTATTGGTCGTAACATTTTACGATTATTCTGGCGATCCAGTCCATCGATTTTCGGTTTATCCAATACACGGCCCTGGAATTTCACGGGACGGGTATCTATACTGATCTGAAACTCTGATAGATAATCGCTGGAATCCGATTGGATTTTGTTGACCGCTCCCTGTATTTCCATAAATCGTTCGGCCGGTGATTGACTACCTGTGTGTGTGTGTGTGTGTAGGTGTGTATGTATAGTACCGGTAGGTATGAGTSAACAAMMAAACAAAAAAAAGTTTTAAAAATCAATAGACTATTATCTATATATATATATATATATATTACCGCAAGCTCTGACCAATTGGGATGTATTGTTACCGTCGAGTTTAGTACGGGGAACCAATTGGTCGGGTACAACCTCGCACAATTCTAGGGGCAAATAATTTTTTTTACCCCCTTTAGTGACCAGTAATGGCAGATCTGCTTGTTGTAGCCGTCGTTTGTATTGTTGTTGAAAATATTGTTCAACCGATACTTCCCGTTCCTGGCCCGACTCGTCATCGCGACACTGGAATCGTTGATCGCGTGCCGATTGCCGTCCAAAACCATCGATCGTATACTTTCGTTTGTAACCCAAATGATTGGTATATATTTTCAAACCTTTCAGATCTTTTTCAATCGAATTGATATTACAGTTACGATCGATGGTTCGGGTTTGCAATAGTTTGGCCATAAAGTCCAGTAGACTACCGCCCGTATAGAAAGCCGTAGCCGATCGGTCGACCAGTAGGGTATAACCCATTTTTGTCGGGCGTGTACTCTGATAGTGACCGAATACGACTTGTTTGTTACCGGTTCGGTCAATATCCACGCGGCCATCGTTGTGCTGGGGATCCCATTTCGGATACAATGAATTACCGATAGGTACCCGATTCGATGTCGGACCATAACTATATATATATATATATATATAATATGTTAATAAATTATCGGTAATTCCTCCGGCCAGGCCATTGGTGGCCARTAATTATTGTCTATCTATACTGTACCGTAGTATAATATCCAGCGCCTGGAGTGCATCGCGCGGCAACTCACGCGACTGGCCACTATAGTACATGTTTAGCTGGCTCAGTTCGATAGTGGCCACCTTATTCAATATGACTTTCACTCGGGTAGGTTTACCATCAAAATCAACGTCCAGTTGGCGTTCGTAGTGATCCTCCCGGAGCTTATAGCCGGTATAGACATTGGAATTACCATCGAATACTGGTCTGAGCATCTCATTCGATGATTTACTAAATATTAGCGGCCGATTAGCTTTGAACTGGTCAAATGCCAGTCGATTTTCCGCTTGCCGTAATTTGCGCATTCGGTTACGACTCGGGCCACCGCCAGCACCACGGCCTGGCCCGTCACCACCAGCCGCCGCCGCAGAGGCCACTGCCTGATTCATTGGCCGATTATCTTGCGGTTCAAATTTAATATCGTAGTGATAGACAGTAACATCTTTGATGTCGAGCTTAAAATGATTGGCCAACAGCCAGATTGGTCGTCCGCGTGTACCGACTGCCGGCCTGCGGACAAAAATCTCTTTCGTACGGCTAGTATCCATCTCTTTGTATTGAACTGGTTGTGTAGGCCATCATCATCATCATCATCATTATCGGTGATAATAACAACATAAGTGACAAAAATTTATATATAATTAATTAAAACAATCAATCAATCAATTGATAAACTATTAGATAATAAAAAAAATATATGTTATATTATATATCATATAAATATTTGTTAGGTACAGGTGCTGTATAATAATAATAGGTATGTCCTCCTCCTATATATTACCGATAAAACTGTATATGTCTATTATAATAATAATAATAATAATAATAATAATATCATACATGGATTAACAGCTACCGGCGGGCCATCAGGTCTACGCGGCGGACCGCTGGCTGGCTGTCCTCTATCGTATGGTCGTCTATCACCGCCGCCGCCGCCGCGTCCACCWCCTCCTCCTCCTCCACGACCACCTCTATCACTRAAACCACCGCCACCTCCGCCAGCGGACGGACACTCCCGGGACATATGACCAGGTTTTCCGCATTTAAAACAATTGCCGCCACCGCCGCCGCCACCACCTCCTCGTCCTCGACCACCGCCGCCATCACCGCCTCCACGTCCGCGACCACGATCTCCACCGCCGCCACCCGCCGACGGACACTCCCGAGACATATGACCAGGTTTTCCGCATTTAAAGCAATTGCCACTTCCRCCGCCGCCGCCGCCACCACCGGCACCACGACCTCCGCCGCCGCCGCGACCACCGCCTCCTCCTCGGCCACCACCACTACCACCTGTTAAGTGGACAACCCGTTAGTATTCATATATATATATTAAATATTAAGTATCATAAGTGATCACACACATATGTATATCCATTGATGACAAAAAAATGGTGGCCAATAATGGTGGCCACGATAAAAAACAACCGATTAAACGGTATAAACGGCCGATAAATACCTCTTTGAGTGGACATATCACTGGCCGATGACTGTCTGTCTGTCTATCGGTTTGTTTATTATTATTATTATTATTATTACTGTATTTACCGATAAAACTGATGATTCACTCAAATAATTACTTATAATATAATATTAATAATAAAACAATAAATAAATAAATTATTTATAATTATTATTATTATTATTATTACAGTTGTATTACATGTAGTAATTGAAAACACAATTGAAAATAAAAATACATTTATTTTTTTAATTAATTAATTAATTTAATTAAAACACATATAAGTATTGATGCAATTATTTATAGGCAATAGTTTTTACAGTTTTTTTTTAATTTTTTTTATTTTTTTTAAAAATAATTATTTTAATTTTATTTTAACGTTATCTAAACGTTTTGATATCTATAAACTACTTCTACTGTATCTATGTATGTATTTATTATATGTTTTATACAGTATTTTTAAGGGTTCGCATATATATATATATATATTATATTTTTAAAATTTCTATCATGAAATTCCCTCCTAAAATAAAAAATTAAATTTTATATTATAATAATTAATAAATATTATAATTATAGTAATAATAATAATTAGACAAAAAAAAATAATTATTTTATTGAYTTTAATATTCTATATTATWTTATTTTTTATTRTTTGCAAAAAAAATTCCCTCCCATTGGRAATAAATATTATTTTACACACATACACATACACATACACATACACATACACATACACATACACATACACATACACATACACATACACATACACATACACATACACATACACATACACATACACATACACATACACATACACATACACATACACATACACATACACATACACATACACATACACATACACATACACATACACATACACATACACATACACATACACATACACATACACATACACATACACATACACATACACATACACATGATATAAAACTATCAGATTATATACAAAACGAAAACAAATAGTAGACGCACCACACAAGCACATACTAGTAAATATATCATAGATTATACTTAATATATATATACATACAAATTTAAGTGTAGTGGATGTATAATAACTATTTAAAATATATAGTCTATGTTTTAAATAAAAAAATATAATTTAATATAAAGTTTACTAATTGACTTGTAATTAGGGTTAGATTGAAATACCCCCCCCTCTAAGCATTAAACACTACATATATATATATACGAATATATACATACACTACTTGATTAGTGGGCTGGTATTATTGTTTTGGTTTTGAATATAATCAAATCAGTTTATAATATACAGTATATATATTAAACAATAAACAAAATGTCTGTTAATTTTATTGTGCGCTTCAATACTAATGTSTGTATATATAATATAATAAACAATAAATAATAGTATAATTCATTCAATCAATCAATCAATCAATGCATTCATTCATTCATTGATTCAAATCAATGAATCAATCAATCAATTGATTCATTCATTCATWCAATTAGTTTTAAAAGCACTAAATAGTGGCCAAACAATACCCGTCGGCGGATAAAACCCGAGGACAACAACAACAACAACAACCACGTGTTTGTGTGTGTGTGTCGGATATCTGTCCCGATATTTCCCASACCCGCGCGTGTCTGACCACACACACACTGTGWGGCCGTCGCCGTCACCCGTGATGTCCACATTGAACTCGTTGTTTAGTTTTACGTCGCCGGCCGTCAAAAAACTTCTCGGTTAGTAATAATCAATCAATAATAATAATCATATGATTAGGATATACCCGTCCCGAACAAACCAGTGACCACTTGTTGTTGTCGCGCGCGCGGGTGTCAGTGACCAGTGATCGGCTGAACTATATATATATATATATGATTGATAGAGAGCTACCGGTGCGCCAGTAATCGGGGTGTCTGTGTGTGTGTGTGTGTGTGTGTGTGTGTGTGTGTGTGTGTAACCTAAACACCCGATGGACAGCCGTCTACCTGAGCCGATGGACACTCTCAGTGGTCATATATCGGTGACAACTGAGAGTGGTGTCCATATCAGGTAGTCGGCTGTCGATCGGGTGTTTAGGTTATACACAGACACCCCGATTACTGGCGCACCGGTAGCTGTCTATCAATCATATATATATATAGTATAATCATATATATCAGTTTAGCCGATCACTGGTCACTGACACCCGCGCGCGCGACAACAACACGTGGTCACTGGTTTGTTCGGGACGGGTATCATATATCCTAATCATATCATTGGTCACTAACCTCTCTGTTTCTCTCTCTCTCTCTCTCACTCACTCACTCATTGGTCACTATATAGGCTGGAAACAGGGCGACGAAGAAGAAAAATGGGCCGAAAAAGCCGTCGACTCGTTGGTCAAGAAGTTGAAGAAAAAAAAAGGAGCCGTCGAGGAACTGGAACGAGCCCTAAGCCAACCGGGCCAACAGTCCAAATGTGTGACAATACCGCGATCGTTGGACGGCCGCCTCCAAGTATCCCATCGGAAAGGTTTGCCGCACGTAATCTACTGTCGGGTATGGCGTTGGCCAGACCTACAATCACATCACGAGCTGAAACCATTGGAACATTGCGAGTTTCCGTTTTCGGCCAAACAAAAAGAGGTCTGTATTAATCCGTATCATTACAAGCGAGTGGAATCGCCTGTATTGCCGCCGGTACTGGTTCCCCGTCATTCGGAATATCCGTCATCGATGAACATACCCCAGGCGCCGACATTTCATCCGTCATCCATCGAGCCAAYGATGCCGCACAATGTTTCCTATTCGAGCCAAGGTTTTACCAATAGTATCGGCGGTAGTGGTGTTGGTGGTGGTGGTGGTGGTGGTGGAGGAGGAGGACCTCAATCGGGATCCGCCGCTTCTAACGGTTCGCAAAACTCATTGAATCTGTCGGTTCCTTCGCCGGCCGGCTCTAGCATTAGTTCATCGACTGTCGGTCCGCATTCGCCGCCGTATATTTTGCCCCGTAATTATTATTTATGTTTTTTTTGTTGTTATTATTTTTATTTAATTATTTATTAATTTATTTAATTTATGTTTTAATTATTAATAATAATTATTTAATTAATTTTTTAACGTTATATTTAGTTAATAATATTTTACTTTATTATTATTATATATTATTTAAAAAACCAACCGATAGTTAATCGATAACTTAATAGTTAATGACTTAATAATGATATTACCGACTAAATCATTAAAAATTTTATATACTAATGTGTATAACCTATCGTACTGTTTAACACCCGACCCCACACCACACCCAATCTATGATTTGTCTATCTTAATGTATTTGTGTGTCCACCATAAACAGTTGCCGAAACACCGCCGCCAGCCTATTCGCCACGCGATGACAATATGAACGGCAACAACCATAACGATAACTCGATGGACACCAACGATATACCGCCGGATGTCCAACAGATTGCCTACCAGGAGCCCCAATTCTGGTGCTCGATAGCCTACTATGAACTAAACTCCCGGGTAGGCGAAGTATTTCATGCCCAGACCAACTCGATAGTTATCGACGGTTTTACCGATCCATCAAACAATAACAATCGGTTTTGTTTGGGACTACTATCGAATGTTAACCGAAATTCGACGATTGAGAACACCCGCCGACATATTGGCAAAGGTATGGTCGGTCACTGATAGTATAGATATCTTATATATATACTATTGACGGCACAGTTAGCTCTCGATGCGAACCCTGGGTTTTATCACATGTTTTTGTCTATTTTGATCCTACCCTTCCTCAAGCATCGATACAATAAATATTTATATAATAATTAATTAGTTAATGATTTGCATGTATTGAATATCAATAATAGATTTTATATTGAATTCAATACTCATTAACTAATTATACATTTAATTTTCAACAACAAAAAAAATTGTTTGAATTTTTTGTATATGATTTGCATTTTTTTTATAAAATTATTTTATATTTTTTTTTTACTGTGATATATATAATAGGTGTGCACCTGTACTATGTGGGCGGCGAAGTATTTGCCGAATGTCTATCTGATTCGGCCATTTTTGTCCAGTCCCGTAACTGTAACCACTCGCACGGCTTTCATCCGACAACCGTTTGTAAGATACCGTCCGGTTGTACCCTTAAGATATTCAACAATGCCGAATTTGCTAGCCTACTAACCCAGGCAGTCAATCAGGGTATGTATAGATTTCTACAATGACATACCAGTGCTCTCTAATGTGTTGTTTGATTTGATTACCGTTTAAGGTTTTGAATCGGTCTACGAGCTGACCAAAATGTGTACAATACGTATGTCGTTTGTGAAGGGCTGGGGCGCCGAATATCATCGCCAGGACGTAACCTCTACTCCCTGTTGGATAGAAATACACTTACACGGGGCCCTCCATTGGCTCGATAAAGTCCTAACCCAAATGGGTTCGCCCCAGAACCCCATCTCAAGTGTGTCATAATACTACACATAATAATAATAATATGTAGTGTTTTAGGTGTATATTATGTATTATCTCTCTCGGACTCCGGGAGGAGGAAGGGGTGTCTGAGTGTGTCATCTCATTTAGATTAGAAGTGGCGTTTTACTGAGGAGGTTTAAATTTTATCTCTACTATATCCTCTTAAACCTCCCGTTCCCCCCCCCTGTAATTTGAATGTATTTAAATACATTTATATCTATACATTCAAATATTAGCTACAATTTTTGGTTGTTATTGTTGTTGTTGGTATCTTACAAGTGCTGCTGCTATACCCCCCCCCTATACACAACCTCCCTGTCCTCTAAGGATCAATCAAAAATAGTAATCAATTGAATTACCCCCTCATTAGTTGCAATATTTATTTTATTTTTTGTTTAGTTATCATTTATCGTAATTTTTTTCCCCATTGATTTTTACCGACTCTTTGATAACACTTACATAAACTCATTGCAATCATATATATATATTATATTTTTGTTATTTAAATATATGTTTTTTTTAATTTAAAAATTGTTGATTAAATTTTTCTCAATAATTATTGCCATATATATGTAGTGATTACATATAATTTAAAGAGAGAGAGAGAGAGAAATCAATTAATCTGAAAAAATATATTAATGTTTATATAAAACAAAAAATTTATTAGTGATTATTATAACCGTTATATTTTTACTATTGATTTATTATTACTAGAAATACAGTTATTTGTATCTCAAAAAAAAAAATTTTTTTTTTGTTGAATTATAATTCAATCAAATTTATAGCAATTTTTTTTTTAGTTTTGAAATGCAATAGTAATTTAGTTGATACTATGATATCTCATATATATATATATATTACGGTTTGTTATCTTATTATTTTTTGATTTATAAATTTATATATAAATATATATATATATATATATATATATATATATATATATATATATATATATACTATAAAAGTGACAAAAATTTTTTTTTTAATGATAAGATTAATGAAATTGCAATTTGTTTTTATTGAGATTAATATAAAATCAGGGACAAAATAGGCGGAACTAATATTTTTATTATATCTCAAAAACTAAAAGACCTAGGACAAAGATATTTAATAAACAACTATGGTTTCTTGGAACGTACAAAATGGTGAGACCAAATTTTTTATAAAATTACTAAAATAGAAATGATAAAAATATGTAATATCTCAAAATCTATAATAGATAATGAAAATCTATAAAATGTATACTAAACTAGATAAAAAATAATTTGATACGTGTTTCAGCAATTTTCAAAAAAATAATTAATAAAGTTAGTATCAATTTTTGAAAGAGAAAAGTAATATATTATTTGTAAAATATTATATTACATTTTTTATATTTAATTAAAGTAGTTTATTTTTTTCTTTCAAAAATTTATAAAAACTGCTGAGACACATGTCAAGTTATATTTTATCTGGTTTATTATACATTTAATAGATTATCATTATCTACTACAGATTTTATGTTATTATATTATTTTGATCATTTCTATCTTAGAAATTTTATAAAAAATTTGGTCACACTATTTTGTAGGTTCCATGAAGCCATAGTATCATATTGAATATCTTTGTCCTAGGTCTTTTAGTTTTTGAGATATAACAAAAATATTAGTTCCGCCTATTTTGTCCCTGATTTTATATATATTAACTGTACTTATATTGATTGAGATTTTTTTGTTTGTTTTGAAACTGTATTTTTTTGTGTGTTTTTTTTTGATGATAATTATTATTATCATATGATATGTTATTTTTCAACAGGAAAACAAAAAATCAAAGTATACATTAATTTTTTTCCCCAATAATAATAATAATAATTATAATTATTATTATTTGTTTTAATTTATCGGCCAATTGTTTATAAGAGAGAAAAAAAAATCATTCATACATTCATTTATTATTATTTTTTTTTGAATTACATTTTTTTATCATTAATTAATTATTGTTTTTTTAAAAAAAAAACAATAATATATTGAGCTCTTTATATATATATATATTTAAATATATTTTCATTTAAATATTTAATGTTTTTTTTAATATCATTTATTTGTCTCAGATTTGTACAGATATTTAAAAGAAAAAACAATGCGATAAAAGTTTTTTTTAAAAAAAACTTTATTATTATTTTTTGATAACTATTTAGTTATTATTATTATTATGTTTTTTGATTTTTTTTCTTTGATTAAATTATTGATGATTTTTTTATTTAATAATTAGCTACTATTTAATAATTATAATAATAATAATAACTATAAATTTTTTACTATTTTTCAAATCGATATATTAATTACCGTAAATGTAGAAAATTTTTAGGCAATAATTGTTAGTATTATAATAATATAATTAATTAATTAATTATTACTACTAATTACTATACTATGTGTGCATTTATTGAATGAAAAAACTAAATTTTTTTTTTACTATATATATAAAACTAGCTAGCTATTTATTTGTTTTTTTTAAAAATAAATCTATAATTAGATCGCTTATAAATACATTTAGATAATTTTTATAATAATTATTATTATTAGCAATTGTTAACTTAATTAATTAATTTTTAAAATAACTTTTAAAAAAAATTTTAATCAAATTTTGCAATTTTGAAATTTATAATATTGTGTTGTTTATAAATATATAAACATTTAAAAAATATATTAAATACTTATTAAAAATTATATAAATAATTGAAATTAAGTGTCAAATACAACGAAAATAAAAATAATAATACAATTTTTGTTTTTAAAAATCGTTATAAACGAAAAAGTTATTGAAAATAATTATTTAAAAAAAACAAATTATTATACTTTTTATTTTGAAAAAAAATAATATGTAATTAAATTGATATTATAATTATTATAAAAAAAATAATTAAATTATGATAAAAATAAGTTTAATAAAGTTTCATATTATTAAACATTAATTATTTTTGTATTATTTAAAATTTTATTTTTAATTATAATTATTGATTAATAATAATAATAAATATACAGGTATGTTTTTTTTAAAAATTATTAAATTTAAAAAATTAAAAATATTATAATCTTAATTGTTTGATATTATTAATTGTTAAAATTAAAAAAAATAATAATATCATAGAAACTAATTTAAAATTAATTAGATTTTATTATAATCTAAAAATAAAATATTTACTGAATTATTTTTTAAAAAATATTAATTTATATATATTAATATATATTTAGGATAATTATTAACTACATTATAATAATATTTTAATTAAAATTAATTATATAATTGATTTTGAATATAATTAATATATTTTTTTAGACACACAAAAAATAATAATTAAAATCTATGACAACTATTAGAAGTTTATACTAAACTTTAAAACTAATTTTTTAAAATAAAATACTTTTATTATTTATGATTACATTTATCATTATCGGGTATCACCCCCTCCTAAAAAAAATATAATGGGTTTCACACCTACCCACCCATCCAAACAGCTCACACACACACACACACACACACCCGCACCCAGACATCTATGATATAATGAGTCCGCAGTCGACGGGCAACGAAACTCCAGTAATAAAAGCCGATTTGTCGGACGCCAAAAATAGGACAGCATTGGCAATGTCTATCGGCTCCGGTAGCCGACCAAACAGTGAAGTAGATTCCAGATGCGAGACCAGACCGTCAAATAAGTCGCCGGCKCCCGAGTTGGCCTGAAAATCGGTACGAACCGCTGTCGGACTAAATTTTTAATAACAATAACAACAATCAAATTAAATAAATTAAATAATATGTAWAGTTTCGATAATTAACTGTATATTTATTATGTTRKWTGTGTATACGGCTGTGTGTTTGTAAGTGTATGTATGTATGTRTGTGTGTGTGTGTATATATATGTATGTGTGTGTATATGTATGTGTGTGTATATGTATGTGTGTGTATATGTATGTGTGTGTGTATGTATTTATATCTATGTATGTATGTGTGTATGTATGTATATCTATGTATGTATGTGTGTATGTATGTATATCTATGTATGTATGTGTGTATGTATGTGTGTATGTATATGGGTGTGTGTATGTGTGTGTTTGTATGCATATGTGTGTGTGTGTTTGTGTKTGTGTGTGGACAGGTATATATATTGAGATAACATACTTGACAACATTGACACGGATACCCTTGGGTCCCAATTCAAGGGCCGCACATTTGGTAAACATATCTACCGATGCTTTGGCCATACAATAGGCCGAACATCCGGCGTACTAAATAGAAATTCGGGGATGAATTAAGTTAATTAACGGTAATTATCGGTAATTTTTTTTATTATACCCCTTTAATACCGGCCACCGATGATATATTGATAACCGATCCGCGAGTTTTCTCCAAATACGGTGCCGAYAGCTGTGTCAACAATACCAGCGATCGGACATCCAAACGAAACATATGATCCAATTGTKTCAWCAGYTCMGGGCTATCAATATTACCGAAACTACCGGCACCGGCATTGTTGACCAGTACATCCAATTTTCCATAGTTWTCGAYAGTYTGACTGACCAATCGGCCGACATCTTCATCGTTGGTTACGTCGGCGACCACTTGCAGWGCCAGTAAACCCAGCGGCGATATMSYGTCACAYTCTTCGGCAACTGCGGCCACTTTASCSGCGTTACGACCGGTTACTACYAMTTGTGCGCCGCGTTTGGCAAACTCTYTGGCCATTTGGGCGCCTAAACCGCCCGACGATCCGGTAATAATGACCACTTTGTGGGCRAAATCGTGTTGTTTAGCGCCGGCGGCGGCGGTGTTGTTGTCCTCAGTAGTCGATGACATCTCTATTGAAAATTCATTGAAATAAATACAAGAGTTTTGTTTTTGATGTCTAAATAATTTTTTAATATTATTATCGTTTTTATTATCAATTGTTGACATAAAATATTTTATTTWWTTATTTTATTTTATTAATGWTTTTTTTAATTATATATYAAATTATTATTATTTATATATATATTTATAGATTAATTAATTAATTAATTAATTATTATTATTACAGCAAATATTTGTCTTTTTTTATATATAAAAATAAAATATTTTTTGAATATATATTTAAACAAATAAAATAATAAACCAATTAATTATTTTTATTGAAGTTATATATATATATATATTGATTATTTAAATAATTATTATGTTTTTTTGTTTAATAATTATTTKTARTACATTATATGTATAGTAAATTAATATTTGTTTGATTAAATTAAAAAATAATTTATTAAAATATATTTTATATTATATTATAACTCAACAATAATATTATTTTTTTTAATCTTAAATAATCTATAACACATTTAATAAACTAAACAATATATATATATATWTTATTAAATAAAATTATTATTTARCAATTGATTATCAATATATTTAATATTATTATTATWATAATTATTTTATTTTGTGACCAAACATTATTATCTCATATATATATATATGTAAACACTTTAATATAAATATTGTATTATTATTATTATCAATATTTTAATACTATAATAATGTTATTATTATTTTTTTATMKTATAATAATATACTATTATTTTTACTATATATATATATTGTATATTTGTATACCTATTTTTAGTAATCATTTAATATAAATATATATTATATACTATATTACCTAAGTTACCAAATAAATATTAAGGAAAATAAAAACTAATAAATAAATTTTGWAAACAATTGAAAACAAAAATAAATTGATATTAATGTATRTATTATACGATATAATAGTATTTTCAAAAAAATAAATTAATAAATTAAATAGTATATTAYATATTTAAATTTATTACAATTAACTTTTAATAGTTTTAATATTTTATTTTACTATTATAATTTATATTAACATAAAAAATATAAATATTTAATTATAATAGTAATTKTAAAAATTTGATAAAAAATAATAAACGTAAAAAAATATATAATTAAATTTTCWGAAATTAAAATCAATATATAAATAGCRCTTAAATAGTTTAATAATCAATATTTTACTTAATTTTTTTTTTGTTTATTACTATATTTTATTTATTTTTATTTATATTATTAGTATATAATTAGATATTTCTATATAAATAATTATATTTAATTTTAAATATATATATWTAAATTATTTTCATGACTATAACAATAATTACATTTAAAAAAAATACTAATAATAACATAGACTTTTAAAAATTAAATTATAATATATATATTTTCAAATAAAAAAATCTATAAATTTTATTGAAAAAATAATTATAATAAATTKTATACCTTGCTGATWTTTTTTAATTGGTTCATGATTTTGATCATGATTAATTTTATTTGATTTATTACATTTGCATCCYTTTAATAATTTAGACATACCTTAACAATAATATTAATTGATAATAATATTAAAATATAAWAAATAAAACTAATAAAATAATAATAATTTAAAGCAATTTATTATCTATTAATAAATTATTTTTCTTAAAAAATACATTATTATATTAACTATAATTGCATTAATAAAATATGAAAAAATATTTTTTTTATGAAAAAAAACACATTTTATATCTATATAWTACATACATAGATATAATAGTGTAAAATAAATTATWTAAATAATAATAATAATAATAATAATAATAATAAAATATTATCTTACCTTAAATTATAATTATTAAAAATTCACAAAATTGTAGATAATTTTTTAAAAATAAATGAAAATTTTTTCAAATAAATCGATTAGATATTAACAGTTAATAATAATAATAATAATAAAAATAATACTCAATAACTGTTGTATTAAAACTAAAATATATTTTTATTATTATTAAATTTTTTGCTTATTTGAAAAACTTATTTMACTTACTAATAGTAAAGTTTTTATTTTATTTTTTTGTTGTTTGAAAAAATACTTATTTTTTAGTCAATTATTACTAATTTAATAATAATAATAATAATAATACCAAATATGAAAACTTTATTTTAATATTTATACTGTAATATAAAGTATTATTATTATTATTATTATTATTACTTTATGATGATTATTATTGAAAGACACACAATAATTGATTGTATGTTTTAAACAAATATATTAAATATTTTTTWAAAGTTTATTTTTATGTTGAAATATTTATCTATCAAAATAGACACTTATTATTATACAATAAATACTATATATATATATACTGTATATTGTATATCAAAACTTGTAATTTGTATTTAAACACAACAACCTTGAGTTTGAAGTTAATTTTTTTAAACTATTGAATTAACTAATAATAATTATAATTTAATTATACGTTTATATAGCTGTATATTGAAGCACCGGTAGTTTTTATAATAATAATAATAATAATAATAATAATAATTTTTTTAAGAGTCGAGGATATCCACTAATAATTATATATTAGTGACGCGACTAATGTATAAAACTGTTTATATATATATTATATTTAATTAATTTTYAWATAAAAATAAGTTTATTTTATTTATTTAATGCAATTAAATGCAACAAATATTTGCACTTTATTTTCTCTATTAAAATAATTATAATAATAAATTGAATAAATTAATTTTTATATAAAAAAAATTATGTCAATAAAATTAATCAATAAATATATTTATAACACACATATATATAATRTATATATATATATATATATATATATATATATAWATACATTGTTTATTGTAAAGTACATTATATATATATATACAATATATAGTATACATATTATAAGTATTATATTAATAATAGTAATATTAATTGTTTTATATATAATATATAAAAATAGTTTGTTTTAAGTTCATTATGAGTACAGTATTTATCGATAAAGTAATTATCTTATTATTATTATTATTACTAAAAATAGAAAATATAGAAAWAAAAGTTTATTTCACAAGTTATTGTAGACAGTGATGAATAAAATTTAATAATATATATAAATATATATATATATTTGTATAATTGTATAAATATTTTATGACAATTATTTACTATAATTATATAGTAATAATTTATATTAATATATGAATAKTAATCATTAGATGTAATTAAATTACAACTATTTTAATTAATTAAAATAAATTATTATTTTATTTAATTACTTTAAGTAAATGTAGATAATATCATACTTAAAATAAATAAAAATTATTATAAATTAATTTAATCGAAAATAATTAATTTATTAATTAATAGACAGTAAACACTATTTATCTATATTTTAAATAATTTAAATAATTTAAAAACATAAAAAATATTAATTATTTTTTCAAAAATTTAGAGATCAATGATCAATTCAAACCTTTAAAAAATTAATGAGAAAAAAATGTCATTAAAACTAAATGTCTAGTTTTAATTGATTGACAAATAAATATATTATAATTATTTTTGTTATCACATATTTAATGTTCAACAAAAAAAACAAATTTATTTTTATTGGYATAAAATAACAGTAATATTTAGTTTTAGTAATTAATTTTTATTACTACTAAATATAATATTTACATTAAAATTTTCCTTTTAATTTTTTCAATTAAAATAAATGTCAATAAACTATTTATTTATTGTATTTATTTTTTTCAATTAATTAAATAAATAAAATATATTCCATATATATATATAATAATAATTTATATTAATTGCATTAAAATTATTTATTAAATAAAACAATTATATATATATATATATTTTAATTAACATACATTAATGTGAAAATGTTAATTTCAATTTACTTATGTAATAAAGTTATACAKTATATATATATATATATATATATATATATATTCAATATATGTGAATCATATTTTTTAGTAAAAAAAATAAAAAAATTATTGCAAAAATTTTTATAGCACATTGACATAACTATTACACTATTAACACAATTTTTGTCTAAATWAAAATAACAATCGATAAAAAAATTATAATAATATTTTAATAATTATTATCAATAAAAGTATTACATATAGAAAAATAATTTTAAACAAAATAATTTTTTATCAGATTAATAATTTWAAACTATTTATCGCATATTATTATTATTATTATTAATAGTTAAAAAAATATTACATCTAAATAGCAATACTAATATATAAATAAAATAAATATATATATWTTTCTATCAAATTTATATTYATTATTAAAAAAAACTAGTTTTTATATATATCTATTTAATTTTATTTAGTTTTTCTAATATATTAATAATATTTCTGAAATAAAATGTTTTTCCCTAAAAAAAATAATAATAAAATTACTATCAGATTAACAATAAAATAAAAATAAATAATAAAATTTTTTTAAATAAAAAACTAGACATTTGTGTCTTTAAATTGTTTTCAGAGTAAGTAATGTATTATTTGTTGTAATAAAAGAGTCTACAAATGAAATTCAAAAAACTAATTTAAATTTTCTAAAAAAATATATTAAATTATTTTTTTAATAAATTTTTTTATATATAAACTAATTGTTTGTTTGATTTTTTTTATGAATGAATTATTTTTCATGTAATAAGTCTAATAACATATCAAAAAACATGTCGTCGTCGTCGACAACCAATAGTAAAGATTTTAGCGGTAAAGTCGTATTGATTACCGGCAGCAGCGGCGGTATAGGTGCGGCCCTTAGCCGACACTTTGCCCGTAGCGGTGCCCAAGTAGTGGTCAACGGTCGCAATGGTCAGAATGTCGGTAAAGTCGCCAGCGATTGTAATAGTCTATCGCCTAAAAGTTAGTCACAACTAACTAACATACATAACATACATAAGCTGTTTATGTATATACCTTAACCCTAACCTATCCCTACCTTTCCCCCAGAGCTAAAAGCATTGCAAGTTGTAGCCGATGTTACCATTGATGACGATTGTCGCCGATTGGTCGATACGGTTATCTGTCGATTGGGACGGATCGACATATTGGTCAACAATGCCGGTGCCGGCGCTTTCGGCAGTATATACGATCCGAAACTGATGCAAACCTACGATCATATGATGAAACTGGATGTCCGATCAGTGGTAAAGTATTGTATATAATAATAATTATTAATATACTAATTACTATATTATTATTATTGTTGTGTGTGTGTGTGTGTGTTTGGATGGGTGGGTGTGTGTGTGTGTATGTATGTATGGCGAGGACAGGTATTGATAACCCAGTTGGTTGTACCGCACTTGGAACGGACCAAAGGTGTTATTGTTAACATATCCAGTTCCCTATCAGTCAAACCGGTAATTATTATTATTATTTATTTTTATTTTTTTAAATAATAAAAATTTATTATTATTATTATTAATATTTAAAAAAAACTAAATTAATTTTTTTAATTATTTTATTGATTAAATATTATTATGTTTTAACAGTAATTTCTATTTAACTAACAAATATTTATAATAAAAAAAAATAMAATTACCGTATTTATGGTTAAAATTAAATATATATAGGTTAGTTTATAATAATAATAATTTTTTTTTTGATTATTATGGTTAGGATATTTAACTAACATAATAAAAATATTATTAAAATTAATATTATTTAATTATTTTTAAAAAAAATTTAACATACATTACTATCAATATTAGTTGTGTTTCGTAATTAGTTATCAAATAATTATCAACAAAAAAATAAATTAAATTAAAATTATTTATTATGACTTATAAAAACAACAACATTAAGAAAATTATTGAAAATAGTAAAAAAAAATGTATTATAACCTAAATTAAAAAAAATAATAACTAAATTTTATACGAATAATAATAATAACTAAATTATTTACTAAAAATAATAACTAAATTATATAATAATTATAAATAAGTTATTTATAAATAATTATAACTAAATTATTTACTAAAAATAACTAAATTATATACAAATAATAACTAAATTATATAATAATAACTAAATTATATACAAATAATAACTAAATTATTTAATAATAACTAAATTATATACAAATAATAATAACTAAATTATATACGAATAATAATAATAACTAAATTATTTAACAATAATAATAACTAAATTAATTAATATACAAAAATTAACTAACTGTGCCAAACATAACATACCTATATACTCCTCCCCATCCACCCACCTTTCCCCTCTATAGAATGTCCATTTTATGCCTTACTGTTTGGCTAAATGTGCGATCGATATGTTTACCAAATGTATGGCCTTGGAGTTGGGACCGAAAGGCATACGCTGTAATAGTGTCAATCCGACGGCCGTCCGGACAAACTTTCAGTCGGCTACCGGTGCCGGCGATATACTGGTCGGTGTATTGAAACAACTGGAAGAAACTAATCCACTGAGACGTATAGCAACTGTCGACGATGTGGTCAATGCGGTAGCATTTCTGGCCTCTGGAGAGTCCGGGTTTGTTACGGGAACGGCACTTATGGTCGACGGCGCCTCCATTTGGGTCTAAATTTTTTTTGTTTGGCTTTTTTTTAATTCAATTAATTGATTTTTAATTGTTTTTTTTAAACAAAATTATTATTATTATTATTCATAATATAAAACAGTATTTTTATATATAAATATATTTTAATTTTTTTTAATTTGAATTATTTTCAATAATAATATGAATATTTTTTTATGAATTTTTAATTGGATTTTTTTAAACAAAATTATTATTATTATTATTCATAATATAAAATAGTATTTTTTATATATATATATATTAATTTTTTTGATATAAATTATTTTCAATAGTAATAATAATAATATGAATATTTTTTATGAATTTTTAATTGGATTTTTTTAAACAAAATTATTATTATTATTATTATTCATAATATAAAACAGTATTTTTATATATATATATTATATTAATTTTTTTAATATGAATTATTTTCAATAAAAATAATATTATTTTTTATGAATTTTTATTGGATTTTTTTGTTAAACAAAATTATTATTATTATTAGTATTCATAATATAAAACAGTGTTATAAATATATATATTTTATTTTTTTTAATWTGAATTATTTTCAATAATAATATGATTTTTTATGAATTTTTAATACTAATAAAGTGTATAAAAATAATTAAAATATATTACTGTTAAAGTATTTTTAAAAAATTATTAATTATGTTTTTTTATTATCTATAATATATATATATATATATATATAATTGTAATTAATTTAATTAATAATAACTACATCTAATAACTATAACTTCATTAAACTATTAAAAATAAATTTTAATATCATTTTTTAATTAATATATATTTTATTTTATGTTAACTGTGTTTAAAATAAAATTTATTTTTATTATAAAACTGTTTATTACTATTTGATAAATTGATTAAATATATAATAATTGATTATATTATTACTAAAATAAAAGATTTTATCAAACTATTTGTCTATTGAAATATAAAAAAAAGTAAAATTAAATTATTAAAAAATAATAATAATGTGTATAAATGTACTATAAATAATATTTTTTTATTAATAGTTTTTAAGTTTTAGTTTTCTATAGTTAGCAATTATTGCTATTTTTTAGGTAAATATTTTACTTTATTATTTAGTAATTAAAAAAACAAATAAACAAAAAAATTATTAATTATTATTCGAAATTAAAAATAGTTTTTTTAAAATAATATTATAATAACACGTGTTTTTTAAAAAAATAATAATTATTTTAGTATAATGTGTTGTGTTGCCGTCTTTTCTGTCCACTATATGCGCTGATAGTCCCGGACCATAATCGACACACACAACCCCGAGATCCGTCCGATGATAGATCTCGCCAATGATCGCTTGTTGATAATCTTAGTAATCCTTAAGAACACCACAGTTAACACAATGAAGAAGTAATCCAAATAATGGTACACACATTATAATAATTAAAAGTATTGTTTATTTAATAATTGATAAAATAAAAGTATACATCAGTACATTACAATATAACTCTGCACTGCCCGGAACTGCTGACCAATGATATGCAAGTTTATGCATAGCAAAGGCCTGCCAGTCCAGACAGAGCTTTAGCTACTGTTAGAGTTAACTGTTTTAAGTCTAAACTCTATAGCTCTTGAGCTGACCAGTTTAAGTCTTAGCTCAACACTTGAGTGACTTTACAATGAGAAGTACCTCAGTATTTATATGCTTTTGAATCAATAGGTCTTATTGTTTGCAGACGACACCAATGAGTGTCGTGTGCACACATGCCTTACTTTACAATATATAAGTTCCCCTCACTTAGTCATTACTATATAAATTCCCATTAATAACAGACATTACATTTAACTACTTAATATTCCCACTAATATTCCCTAAAGTTCCCGTTTAACTACAAACCTATTTATAATAGTGTAACAATTTTAGACGGGATAATTCCCGGGTTTACTCGGGTAATTATCCCTTAATAATATAAGTTTAACTTTTTAATCACGTGACTCCTGGGTTGTCCCGTTGGGATTAAAAACAAGAATCACGTTTACAACTCTATTGTATGTGGTGTCGGTACCCATCGATAGATGGCAGTACCGGCGCCACAATACATATACATCATTACCTGACAGTAATTATACAATATTAATAATAATAACAAATTAATAATAATAACAAATATAATAATAATAATTATAATAATCAAAATAACAATAAGTATTGAAAAACAGTATTTACCTTATAATTAAATAACAGTATTAATAGTATCCTTTAATTAATATTCAGTATTAATTACAGTCAGTATTATCACAACACTAGTCACTACTCACAACACTATTATTATTACAACAGTATTACACTACACAATATAAATATCACTATTATAATTGTAAAACAATAGTATTAATTACAATGTATTATAAATGTATTAAAATGCCGTAAACCTATATGTATTATAAACAGTATTACATTTAATCAGTTTTTAAAATATACATTTAAATTGCATGGTCAGCATACTGTATCAGTCACTATAGACTGATATCAGTTATGCTGTACTAAACATAACGCATTTCCCCTCACTTTAAAACGTTTCTGTCCTCAGAAACAACAACCCTCTCGCGTTGTCAGCTGATGTTACCGTCGGTTGCCATCACCTTAAAGCCGCGTTGACTAATCCTTTATTGTTAATTTTCTTAGTGTTTCCTACGATTGTCATTTCCTATTTCGTATGTGATCTTATACTCTTCTATTTTCTCTAGTCATTCCAATCCTGTCATTGAATACTAAGGCGTCCCCCAGTATGCCAATAACGTCCATTTATATGGTTTTTTCTTGTCCTTAGCCTTATCGTTAATAGTTATATCCTTTCATTATTATTTTATACTTTTACATTTAGTCAACGACATCTTTCATTTTGTTTACATTTTTATTAACATGAAGAATGTCGACTATTCTTTTTTTTAACCTTTCAATGTCTATCCTGACATCTCTGTACGGCTCAATACAGTAACTTCTCTTTTAGTTTTCAATTGTATTATTTGAAAAAAGTCTAATTGAATATGTTTTCATTATAATTTTGTAAATTGTTTTATTAGTAAATATGGTTTCAATAACAAGAGTGATCAGTTCTGTCTATTGAAACTACGAGCCCTTCTTCAACCGTTTGCAAACACATGCTCATCACAGAGCATAACCTGTCTAACTTGATTCGTTAACACGATAACGAAACATACAGAAGGCCTTATCCCAGACGGAAGTCAATCAAACCGTCTATATTTAAAGTGTAATGGAGTCTTTATTTGTTGAGCTCAAAGCAATTTAAAGTCCATGACTTTTTCTTCCAAATCCCAAGTCCATTCATCCGATATGATTTTAACATTTCTTATTTAAACTGTCGATTCCATAATTTAGTAATTGTATTGCTTATTGTGTTTAAATTGTTTATTTGATTATAATTTTGTTTTCATTTGGATCCCAATTTAATAAATTTGAATAACTGTTTGATAAGTTTTAAGTGTGATTAATTATTTTATAATTGCTTTCAACGACATTCAATTAACAATGAACTTGTTTCAGTAAAATCTATCCCTGATTTTACTCAATGTCCCCGACATTGACAGTGGCCACTAAAATAAGTTTATCGTGCTATTCAATTTTAATTAACTTAAAAGACACAATATAAACTTGACGTACAATGACGTAATTTGCTTTGACTCCATTCACAACTTTTCCTTGAGATTAATCCATAATCTCCATTGGTACCAATTAATCAGCTGATTCCACCAAACATTTCAGTATATTTTTATCTTTTGTAGTTCAGTCTATCGGATTTTAATTGTTTCCAGTGATCCAACCTTTATCTTAATTGTAATTCATTTCTTCAGGTGGTCCAATCAGCTATCTTAATATTGCAATATTTATCCCTCCAGATGTAGAGTATCGTTTTTATTTACAGTTAATCGTTTATTTTCTTATTTTCCACATTTGTTTTTATCTTATATCATTGACTACTGACTGCTGTTGACTATACTTGTATTCATCTGTGATGTCCGTGAATTTACAAACTGTAAATTAGTTATCTCTCTATTGTCCAATTTTAATTGTAATGATTATGTATATTCCAGTATTTTGTAACTATTTTGTAATTTATTTATTTATTTACTATATTATTATTTTACTTTATTGAATTTTTCGTTGACTATTTTCTATAATCCGTTGTGTCTAATAATTATTTTAGTTTATCCACTGTCTATTTTATTTGATTTATTTGTCTATTTTTTTATTCATTGATTCTAGAACATCACTATACATATTGACTGCTATATTTCCCTCAGTCTTTTTTAATTGTTTATTGTTGCTTATTTTACAACACCTTTCCCACAGTAGTTCCCATTGACGTCATTGGTTCCAATCTTTCTGTTGATATTTCATATCAGTTAACCATTACTGAAAACCTCTATATTCTGTATCCAGTTTTGTCCATTTCTTTTTGACTTTTTCGTCACATTTTAATTTTAATGAATTAATTTTTTTGACACTTTTCTATTGATCAGTCCAGTAATTACTTTTTCCGATGATCTCTTGTCATCCATTTAATTGTCGACTACTTTTTAAAATTATTTTTATCCATTGAATTTTTGATTTCTTTTACTTCTATTTACTTCCATTGACTTTTCAGTAATATTACATTTTTCAATATTATTTCAATAATTGTTTTAAGTCTCTAGTTAATTTTGAACAAAGATTACATATGTCGATTTTCAATCTATTGTCAGTCGATCAGTCGTGCTTTTCTGTCTTCTGTTTAATCACTTGACCACTAGTGTATCTTTTCTATATGTCCACCGATTGTTTACTTTTTTTAGTCACTTTTTTCCAGTTAATATCACTTGATTAACACCGTATTAATAACGCCTCTCGACCATAGTTTTCATTTAAATTTTCTTTATTACATTTCCATTGGCCATTAATTCATGCTTCTTGTCATTTGTCAATTTATCATTTAATATGTCCATTTATTGTCAAT